AAATCATGATGGGAAATGAAAGATGGTCCAACAGTTGCCTGCTGATAAGGAGAGGCGAGCGGGAAAGGTATTTCAACAAAGCAAGTCTTCAGAAGATTAGGAACTGTTCTGCAGGAGCACCCATGGTGTCCCTCAAGCTTTTGAGAGTTGGACACACACACACGTATTCTGGATTAACAGCAATATAAGTAATCCTCCTGAATCAGATTAGCAGTCATGGGACAAGGCATTGGGTAAGCCTTTATTTAATGGAGGGGAGGTTGTAGCCTCCGCCTGCCCCTTCTCAATAAGGGCATCCTGTTAAAGGGATCCGGGGGTGTGGATCCTGTCCGAAGCCTGGACATGGGCTAGGGCCATGCCATGACCCAAAGGGGACCCTTTGGGGTGTCCCTACTTGATGTAAGTCATAGGGCTCCCCCTTTTCTTGGTTTGTCCTTAATTCGACTCCCTGCAGATGGACGGGAGTCAAGATATAGTCTGGCTTCACCCAATGCCTAAGCTAAACCACTCACATCTGTAACCAGTAAAGTTGTGGCCTGTTTTAGCCCATTAAGCTATATACTTGTGTCTGTGAATTTATTGATCAATAGGGAACTGCAGGGCAAGGGACCTTGGCACGCTGGAGGAGAGGTCCTCTGGTAGAACTGGCTAAGTTGCAGGAAGCAGAGTCGGAATAAATGGATTGTTCCTGGGACACCGATGAGAAACTGTAGCCCTACAAGGATCAGTACTGGGACCTAAGCTTTTAAACTTGTGCATAAATGATCTAGAGTGAAGAAAAAGCAGTGAGGGGGTCAAATTTATTGGGTGATGCTAAATCCTTCAGGGTCATCAAAGCAAAAACGGGATTGTGAAGAGCTCCAAAAGCATCTGAATCTGAGTTTCCTAACTGTAAAACGGCAAAAGCAATTCAATGTAAATAAGTTGAAAGTGTTACATGCCAGGGCAAAATAAAAATTAAAAAAATAATAATTCGCAAATGTGCTAATGGGGTCTGAACTGGCGGTGATTGCCCAGGAATGAGAGACTGGACTCGATGAAAACATTGAGTGGCAGCTGTGAAAAAGGTGGATTTCATGGTAGGGATCAGCAGGAAAGGAATTGAAAATAAAAGAGCTGATATCATAATTATGCAAATCTATGGTGCAACTGAACTTGGAGTTTTGTGTGCAGTTCTGGTTGCCTCATCCCAAAAAGGATATTGCAGAGTTGGGAAAGATTCAGAAAAGGGCAACTAAAATGAATCAGGTGGTGGAGCAACTTCCCTATGAGGAATGGTTACAACATTTGGGTTTTGTTTGTTTTTTAGTTTAGAGAAAAGCAGAGCAAGGGGAGACAGGATAGCTTAAAGTCATGCATTGAAGTCCACTTCAGTGGATAGCGGACAGAGAAAAGTTTGTCTTCCTCTTTCATAACACTAGAATTTGGGGCTATCCATTAAAGCAGAATGTCGGGAGATCCTGTTAGGATATTGATGTTCCGTTCCACCTTAAGAATAGGCATGTGAAGTTGTTATAAGCCACATGTCTGTATATTTCCAGCACAGCCTGCTGGGAACTTCCGTCGTGTATAGCTTTTGCTTAAGCTTTTTGCTTGGACACGAAGGGGAGCAGACATGTTTTTCCTTTGTCCTGATGCTGAATAAAATGCTTGTAAATACACTTTACATATGCCTCTCTCTGCCCTTCCATTGCAATGAGTTCTTATCTCTGCTGGCTTGCGTACCCAGCTTCTAACGGCTTCTGAAGCTCAGGTCGCAGTTTTGATGCTGATCCAAGGACCGGAGTTCGCCCGGCTGCCGGCCGATGGGCTGGAGCTGGCTGGGGGCTGCCAATTGCCCCCGTTCCCTTGGACACATCCTAACAGATCCAGGACAATCAAGAGAAGGTACTTCTGGTGGCATAGAGTTGAATTTGCTTCTGCAAGAGGCAGGGATGGTCACAAACATATTCAACTGGCAAGAGGGGTTCAACAAATGCATGGAGACAAAACCTCTCAAAGACTTCCCATCTGCCTTTGTACTTCTACCATCAGGAATACCAGCAGCTCTCCATCCTATAGAATCCAAGTGGCCAAGAATTAAGGCAAGAGCAGACTGCATACCCACCAACATTTCTCTGATGAAAATTGGGACGTCCCATTCCATAATGATACTTTTACTGTTTATACCCCACACATCTTCCTGGGTTGTCCCCGCCACTCTGGGCAGCTTCCAACGTATATAAAACATAAGAAAACATAAAACATTTTAAAAAACCAACTTCCCTATAAAGGATTGCCTTCAGATGGCTCGGGGGTCGGATAACTCCATACCCTCCAACATTTTTCCGATGAAAATGGGGACATCTTAAGGAAAAGTGGGATGGTCGTGGGGCATCCCTGATCTATCCTGATAAATTGATCACCCAAAAGGATTCCCCAAAGAAGCTCAACAACTCTGATCAAGATCAATCCAGGGGGAAAAAGGTCAACAACTTGGTCAATCCAATCGGTAGATCACTGTCAGTTGTTTTTTTTGTGGTTTTTTTTTTTTTTGTGGGAGTAGATCCCAGTATCTTGGGAGTTGGACATGCCTGTCTTAGACTATTATTCTCCAGAACTGAGCTCTGCATTGGCCTTGAATAAGTGCCAGCTAAGGGAATGGCTCTTCTGGATAGAATCCAAAAGGGACCTGAAACTAATTAGAAACACCCAATTCCCCCCTAGCGGGACACGGGTGGCGCTGTGGGTAAAAGCCTCAGTGCCTAGGACTTGCTGATCAGAAGATCGGTGATTTGAATCCCTGTGGCGGGGTGCGCTCTCGTTGCTCGGTCCCAGCGCCTGCCAACCTAGCAGTTCGAAAGCACCCCTGGGTGCAAGTAGATAAATAGGGACCGCTTGCTAGAGGGAAGGTAAACGGCGTTTCCGTGTGCTGCGCTGGCTCGCCAGATGCAGCTTTGTCATGCTGGCCACATGACCCGGAAGTGTCTGTGGACAGCGCTGGCTCCCGGCCTCTAGAGTGAGATGAGCGCACAACCCTAGAGTCTGGCAAGACTGGCCCGTACGGGCAGGGGTACCTTTACCTTTACCTTAATTCCCCCCTTGGTATCCACTCCTGAGATCAGAGCATTCTAGAGCCAGTTACCTGGCCAAAATCTCACCACTTTCCTTAAGAAATGCCTTTACTGAGCTGTATTTCCAAGTGGTGTCCATCACAGTTTTGGATGATCACTACAACAAAGTTGCTGTATGCAGACAGACTTTGCATTTGTGGTCAACCTCAGGTGGAAGACATCACTAAGCTGTTCGCCTGCCCCAAGAAATCGCTTTCTGAAACCTTTGTTCACACAAGCAAGGAGGCGCAATCTGGTAGAAAATGTTAGGGTTGTTTTGTTTTTGTTTTTCTTGAGTGACAATAATAGCTTTGTAGCACACAGAGGGGCCCTCTATGCACTGTCTGCAAAAGAAAGCAGGAAAGGGGAGTTAGATATAATCGCTATAAATTGCTGTGGTGATTCAGAGGTTGAATCTGAAATCAAGCAAGAGTCAAGCTCATTGGTGTCTCTGGTAACATGTCCTGGATCTTGACATATTATGGATGGGTGTTCTGTTATTATCTTATGAATACTACTGTTACAAGTTTGTCATGGCCTCTGGCTACAAGAAGAACAATATGAATTGTGTGGGATGTAACATAAGCAGTCAAATACAACATTTTCTGTTTGCCGAGAGTGGACATGCAGGGGGATGTTGGTCCAGCCAGTTGAACTTCCTGTTACACCTGGTCTGGAAGCATCCTTCCTTTGCATGTGACCAGGTAGGTGGACGTGACCCTTGCAGACCCCACCAAAGGTCCAGTTATGCAGCCCTCTTCCTCTCTTGATGCTCCTCTCTTCCATTTTGGCCACTGCTCCTGATGCTGTCTGCTGGCTCTCTGCCAGCAGCACATGGGCCCATCCTTACAAGGATGTCAGCCACACTGTATCTGTAACTACAAGCTAAAACCTGCCTTCAGGGATCCAACTGTGAACTGAATGTGAGTAAACTTCTTGTTAAACTTTTAAAAGAAGATTCAGGTAGGGAGCCGTGTTGGTCTAACGCAGTTGAAATAAATAAATAAAATAAAAAATTGTCCAGTAGCACCTTAGAGACCAACTACCCAGAACAAACTTAGTTGGTCTTTAAGGTGCTACTGGACAATTTTTTAATTGTTTTTCAAAGAAGCTTCTTAGGTCTTTATTCTTTTAGGAGGGAATCAAAGGGGTCTTACCAGGAATAATAGAACTTAAGAGTTTCTAATGAATCTGCAACTAGCTTCCTGCTGTGTAAAAGGGGAAATGTACTCTGCTGTATGAATAAACTCACTAGCGTGAGTTAGGAAGGATAATATTTAATCAATATATCCTTCCCTGCTACCCACAACATTCCCACAAATTGAACTGCTCCCATAGTGTGGACTGTCTCAGTAGATCCCAAAGTATCCTTACTCCTGGATGTTAGCGCTTCCCGTCCATTGGCAGAAAACAAGTGGCAGTGAAACTATGTTGCACGAAACCCTTGTGCTATGTTCATGAGTTATGGATGTAGCTGGCATGGCAGCTTCTTTTGTCCAGGTGCCCTTCAAACTCTCACAGGGCTCTACTCCTGCCCACAAACTGGGAAGCACCAAGTTCTGTGCTATCCCTCTCTCGGCATGTGCTTCATGGTGTCCGCAAATCTGGCCTGCCGGACTGGGGAAATATTTAGGGGGAGGGTGCAAGAGGAGGAGATGGGCAGCCTGTTCCGCTTTGCAAGAAAAAATCATTGCACTGATGGGGCATTTGCCCTCACGATGCCTTGCAAATTCCCGGGTGGGAGTGCAAGAAGCGCCCCCAGAGTCCTCGGCTGTGCAGAGGAGCCAGTCTGTTTTCCAGGGCAGCCATGTCCTTCCTCTGAACTGACTTGGGCAATGCACATGGCTTTGGTGTTGTGACCCACAATGAAAGACTCCCGCGGCCGTTTCGAATGCCAGAAACCATCAATGTTGTTTTTGTAATCTGTTTTTATTTACAATGATATTGACAACAGAGTGCTTTTCATCCAATTAATACTTATTGCAAGTCACGGAGAACTTGTGGATGTGTACCACTCAAACTGAGCAAAGGAACTTATTTTGAAATCTAGGACTCTTGAAGTCAACCCTCGGTGCTTCCCCCCCCACCTCCCCCTGAGAGAGGGGTTTTTTGCAATCACTCCCCCCCTCTCTGTAATCGTGATTCATTAAGGTCAATATCACAAACACTTTGAAAGTCATTACACAGATATAAGCCTTTCCCATAAAATGGTGTGGTTTGTTTCTTTCTTTAAAAAATAAAAAAAATAAAAAATGCAAACAAAATGTGGTTCTGAAAAGCCCCAAACCCTAAAGAGAAATACATTTTTTATCAAAAAAACCCCACCCCTCAATAAATGATTGACCAAGTACATGACAAAATTATACATAAAACAAAATTGTACTTACAATGTTTACATGAAAAATGTACTTTGACTGCATTCTAGGCACGAGAGGACCATATCTGCAAGAAGTCAGAGCTTACTTGGCAGTAGTGGGTTTGTCAGTAGAAATTTGTAGCCCGAGGATGTGTTGAGGAGAGGGAAAGTAGCTCAGGGAAAGACTCTTGCATGGTAGAATGAGATGACAGAATAGTAAACAGGCATGAAAGCACCAGGAAGATCTGCCCCATTGGGCATTCATGGTCTCTAGCGTGCCTTGTCTAGTGCTGTCTGTTTACAGCAGATGGCCCAGGAACTAGTTTTCCTGAAAGGCAGGTGGGGAGAAAGGAAGGAAAGAATGGAAAATACAGATCTGCTGGAATCCAGTCACAGAAGCCACCCTGAGTGCATTTATGCGGCAAGGCGATTCATGAAACCCAGGTCAGGAGTTAAGAAAAACCCAAGATCTTCCTCAAATGACCCACTTGTTGAAATGGTAAGTGAAATCTGACACAGAGGCAACTCTCCCCGTATTTACGTGCTTGCTTCAAGGGGAGATTTCGCAAGCCCAGATATAATGGGGGGGCGGGCATATTTGGTGATCTCAAAGGGAATCTGTTAAGGAATTGGCAGTCTGGGTTCCTGGTCAAGAGTTTCTTTGCATTTGCTGCTGAAGGAAGAATCGGCGGGGGTGAAGGAACGAAGTGGACTACCCTCGCCGAAAAACCATCGCTAACCGCCAAAAGCAAAATTTAAACTGAAAGGTTGCCCAGGAGGAAACCTGCTATGCAAAGCATGTGACGGCCAGACTGGTCGTGGGGTCCAACGCACATCGTACCCCGTACCTCAGTGTTGTTAAGCCGTCATAATTCAAAGTTGGAAATCATCAAACTCCAACCACTAGGCAATGCTGTCACAGATGAGAGGCCTCCCCAAAGGCATTGAATCATTAAAACCCTCAAAACAAGCACCCGAGAAAGGGATCCACACAGAAAGGGATCCATACAAATGTTGGCACGGGAGATTTGATCTGGTCACACACGGGGGCACACTGTAGCTGGTCCAGTTCAGTGGAAAGGGTCAAGTGCCAAAACTGGGGGAATCCGCGTTTCTCCAGACACCCACCACGTCTTACAACATGCAGTCCTTGCCGAGCAGAAGCCGCAAAGGCCACCCCACCCCGCCCCAACAAACGAAAGCTATGGCTTGCGAGAAAATACAAAAGAGCTGCGCTTCCGGCAAAGCGTGGAGGCTGCAAGCTCGGAAGGACAGATGCATCTGGCGTTGAAGAGCACACGACATTTCCCCCTCCCCGTCCTCTCCAAGCCCCCCGCACCATCTCAGAGTAGCAGGGAGAGGCAGGAGCAGCCCAGAGGTCTATCGGTGTAGGGCAGGGGGCAGAGGGAGAGCCACAGGCCGGCTCCTCACTCCCCTTCCTCCTTGATGCGCTGCTGCTTGTTGCGGCGGGCATCCAGGTCGAAGTTGAAGTCGCTCCACTCGTCGCGGGGAGGGAAGGAGATGGTTTGGCGGAGGGTGAAGCGCACGGCGTCGATGACACGCTCCCCGCGGGTCTCGCTGGGGCCCACGCTGACCGCGGAGGCGGCCCCGGGGGTACGCAGGAGGTGGGGGGCAGAGGAGAAGTCGTGGATCTGCCGGTGGTCCATGATGCCTTTCCAAATGGCATGGCGGAACTGCTCCGGGATTTTGAGGCTCACCAGATCCTGGAAGGCGAGGAGAGGAGAGAGAGAGAATCAGCCACTCCTGCCAAAAGAAGCTACGCAGGTTTCTACAGTCTTTTAACGGGGGGTGAGTGGGGCTTTTGGTGACTATCTCAAGGGTTCTTCAGGTCTTGCTTGGCGGCGCTTAGCTTCAGAAGCGAAGATTCAGTAAGGAAATGGAGAGACCCTCAGCCCAACAGGCCAAACCCCAAGCAAGCAACACCAAAATCCCAGCAAAGCAAGAAGGCTTCAGGCGGGAGGGAGGAGGTGCAGAAGGAACCCCAGAAGACGTCAGGACAACCATGTCTGTTTCAGACCTGTGGCTTGCAAACAGTACAAGGCTCTTCCAGCTGGGCCTTCCCACCTCCCCTTCATGCAAAAAACAACCGCTTTTACTGCCACACCACTGTTTTGGACCCATTTATGTGGTCCGGAACAGCGAGAGGCCTAAAAGAAGATGGTTGAAAGGGAGAAAGTTCAGCAGGAAAAGAGTTGGCAGGGGAAAGGATTGGGTCCTCCGTTCTCTGACGCCCCTTGGCCAACTGCAGCTCCCCTCTCTCCTGAGGGCACTATTGCAATGGCGAAGGGGCTGCCAAAGTTGGGTGTAACATGTAGCTCGCCCCTAAATCCAAAGCGTAGCTTTGCCCTCTCCCCTCCAGCGCAGAGTGCCGAGTTCAAGAAGAAAGGCCCCTTTCCCCCACCATGCAGCAAAAGGGCGAGGCAGTTACTTACATCCATGGAGTAGTGTTCAATCTGATAGATGGTGGTCAGCCCTTGCGCCGTGAAATAATCCACGCAGGAGGAACAGCCCAGCCTTGCTAAGAAACTGCAGGAGGAGGAGGAGGAAAGAGGAAAGGAGGAAAGAGGAAGAGAGAGAGAAAGAGAGAGGTTGAGATAAGAAGGTCACCCACACCAGGCGCTCTGCTACGCAAAAGCCTTGATTTGTGGGAGCAGGAAGGAACCCCCGTCGCCACCCACCCCAAACTCATCACCGGGAGGAAGAAGGTGATATCCCCTGAGTGGGACACAGAAGTCAGCTATCCCAAGCCTCGTGGAAGGAAGAGGCAACAGCTCCCTCTCCATGCAGCACGTAGTTAATCTGTGGAACTTGCTGCCTCAGGAGGCAGTGAAGGCTACCAACCTGGAGGGCTTTAAAAGATGATTGGACAAATTTGTCGAGAGGAGGAGAGGGCTATCGATGGCCATGCTCTACCTCCACTGCTGGAAGCAACCATGTGAGAAGAGGATTCTGGGCAAGATGGGCCATTGGCCTGATCCAGCGGACTCTTCCTATGTTATGCTTCTGATGCTGGAAACCACAGGAGCAGAGAGGGGTCCTGTGCTCAAATCCTGCGTGCTGGTTTCCCACAGCAACTGTGGCTGGCAACTGTGAGACCTGGATGCTGAACTAGATGGGCCCCTGGCCTGATCTTCTGACGTTCTTAGGCTATGCCATGGGGAGAGGGGCAGCACATACTATGGCATCAACTTTGGCCCCCTCGGCCAACAGGGCACCTTGGAAGGGACCTGGAAATGAAGAGGCAGCTAGCGCAGGTGCTGCTTGAGTGCTTAGTGTGGTCCTCCTGATGTTCACCAGGAGCTAAGCAGCAACATCCTGCGGTAGATGCAGCTTCTGATCCATCTTCAAAGGCAGCCGTGCATTTAGAGAGCCACAGCAGCCAGCCCTGGAGATAAAAATAGTAGGGTTCAATGCTGCGATGTATCTTGGACCCGCCTTCGTGGGAGGTTGTAAAGCCATGGTTGGGTGGCCATCTGCCAGGGATTCCTACGTTGCCCTTGGGGTCCCTTCCAACTCTACAATTCTATGATTCTGTGACCTCAGAAGGTGGTGGACTCCCCTTCCTTGGAGGTTTTTAAGCAGAGGTAGGACGGTTATCTGTCAGGGATTCTTTAGCTGTGATTCCTTTGTTTCAGGAAGGTGGAGGAGATGCCCTTGGCCTCCCTTCTATAATTCTATGATCTCCCTTTATGGGAGGTTTTTAGGTAGAGGTTGGTCCTCTTCCAGGGATTCTTCAGGTGTAATTTCTGCATTGACAGGGGGTTGGGCGAGATGACCTTTGGAGTCCCCTCTAATTCTACAACTCTAATTCTTTTCTCCTGAAACCAGGGCAACAAATGCAGTTGATGTGAGTTACCCTTGGCTACTATTCCAGGGTTCTCCAGAGGTATGCCAAAGCAGGCCAGATGGAGAGATTGCCACCCTATCCGATTCCATCACATGCAACAATGGGATTCTTCACCGGAATCCCCTCTGCCTCATCTCCTTCTTGTGTGCGTGGGAGGAAAAGGTCTGGGGGCAACGGCAAGGGGAGGCAAAGGCAGCGCGGCAAGCCAGCTGAAGTAGCTCGGCAGGTCTAACATGACCTGCAAACTGCTTCTTGAACAGAGCAGCCCCAGACGAAGGACCCCACAGAACAGAGAAGCATGCTGCTGTCACCCGTGATCTGAGGGGTGGGGGGTGGAAAGCCTGCACAGCTACAGCTCACTCACCTGACAATGCTGCAGTCTGTTGGGTAGGGAGGTGGCGGGGTGCAGTGAGATGTCGATGGCATGGAGAGGGTGGGGGGCAACGTCTGCGTCGGGCTGAGCCCGTTCATGTCGCCGGCCATTGCCATGTGGGCTCCCATCATTGGAACTGGAACAAGGGAGAGGAAAGAGAGGCCAGAGTTACAAAAATGGAGGGCACAAATAGCTGGAACCTGCCCTCCACACCCCTGAGCTAGCCCATCTCCTTTCTTATACAGCCTGATCGCCAGTGGCGTAGCGTGGGTGGTGCAGGGGGGGGGCGGCCGCACCGGGCGCAACATCTGGGGGGCGCGCTCGCACTCGCAGCTCTCTGCCCCTACCTAGTTAGGGGGTGCAAATTACTTGCCTTGCCCCGGGTGCTGACAACCCACGCTACGCCACTGCTGATTGCACCTTGCTCTCATTTAAATGACTAAGGTGGTTTCAACCATAGGCGGTTGAGGTCTGGCTGGTTGAAAGTGTGCAAGTTAAATCTGAGGAAGGCAGAGAATTTAAAAGCTCCTGGCATGAGCACTGGCATGAAAATAGCTTTTAAACTCTCCAAGGCCTGCTTGGTGTGCCAGCTCTGGGATGCTCTCGTGAGATTTTGTGGGGCCATCTGAGATTCCACACGAGCCTCCAGAGCCTATGTGCTGAGTGGGCCTTGTCCCCAAGCAAGGCAGAGGGGTTAAAAGCTCTTTATGCACCAGGTCCGCTTTCAGAAAACTAGATTGCAAAATTCAAGTAAGCACAGGTTTTGCAGGAGGGCTGTTTCAGCTTTTTCTATCACTTTGGATGCCACAAATCAGGTAGATTCACCTTCAAATGAGAAGCGACTTAAATTCCCCCCTCCCCAGCTAGCCACTCCATCTCAGAATCTTCCAGGTGCCCTGCTTTTTGTGAAACAACCCTTCCCAAATTTCAGGTGGGGAGGCCTGGTCTGTCAACTCACGAGCTCCTCTTCCGGTGGTTCCGAAATTGATTAATTAAATTAAGCAGTTCTAACTGGTTTTTGTTTTGTTTTTTGAAGATATTCCAGATAAGGATTTCTGCAGGGTAGGATAGCAGGCACTGGAACTGAGTTGTTTGAACCAAGGAAGAAGAGGCTCAAAAGAGTTTGGGAGGTTCTGCTCTGGCCACTATTCTGCCACCCCACTCTTCCTAAACTCCAGCTCCAGGAGGGTCACGGGGGGGGGGGAGAGAAGCCTCTTACTGTTGGCTCCCATGCTGTCGGGCATCGAGGTGGGGGTCAGAGCGTTTCGCTGCTGTGGGTTGATGAGCTGGCTGACAGAGGGCAGCTTGTTCATGCTGTTCATCTTGCCAAGCGGAGGAGAGGTGGACCCATAGGAAGACTGGGACTGGATGGAGTTCCTGAGAGAGGGTTGGAAAACAAGGGCGGAGAAGTCAGCCCCATGCGGAGAGGGAAAGGGCCAACCTTACAACCTTAGCGCTTTTAATTAAATTTACTGGGTGCCTTTTTTTTTTGGCCACAGCGACTCAAAGCGACAATATTCCAAGCAGAAAACAAGCACGTGCATCCATTAAAACGGAAGAAGAACATCGGAACGGAAGAAGAGGAGGAGTGCAGGATCAGACCAGTGGTCCTTCTAGTCCAGCCTCCTGTTCTTACAGTAATTCCCAAACGGATTCCCATCCTTTGAAACCCACAAGCAGGACTGGAGCACAAGAGCCCGCTTCCCTCCCGGCATACCCAGCAGCTTGTGTTCAGAAGCATTTACTGTCAATTCACATTTCTTAGTGCAGAAAGTATTGATCTGACGCATAGAGATCTTTCCTGTTCTAATTAATTCAAGAGGGTTCTGGAAGCTTCTCTGCATAAAAGAAAGAAGCACAAGGTTCATGATGTTTGGGTTATTCCTTCAGAGAAGCTGAGTACAGCTGGCTTAACCTGGTCCTGTTATCTCTTCTGTCAAGGTCATGCTGACTATAATAGTGAGGCCAGAAGGAGTCTGGGTCTCTCTTTCTATCTCTCTTCCTTCTGATGTGGTGTTCTGCACATATGTTAAAGTTTCGTCTTATTATAAGTCATTGTAAGTTTAAGTTAAGTCTGCTGCAACTGGATTTCTTATGGACAGGGCCAATCCTGAAAGTAATGGATTTGTGACCATTATGTTCATTTGCCTTCAGTAGCAGTAAAGCTCTGCTGGTTGAAATACAATGGCCTCTGGTCTATTTTGGGGGGAATCCTGCAACGTGTTTTTCACTCTGCTAACTATATGCTATAATAATAATAATAATAATAATAATAATAATAATAATAATAATAATAAATTTATTTATATCCCACCCTCCCCAGCCGAAGCCGGGCTCAGAGCGGCTAACAACAGTAAAATAATACAGCATTCTAAAATCAATTCATTATAAAATCAGTTCAAATCAAATTGATGGCAACCATTGGGTTGGAGTTCTGTGAAGGATTACCAAAGAAGGGGGTCAGGCTGTGCCTTGGCCAAAGACCTGGTGGAGCAGCTCTGTCTTGCAGGCCCTGCGGAAAGATATCAAGTCCTGCAAGGCTCTAGTCTCTTGGGACAGAGCGTTCCACCAGATCGGAGCCACAGCTGAAAAATCCCTGGCTCTGGTTGAGGCCAGCCTAACCTCTCTGTGGCCCGGGACCTCCAAGATGTTTTTGTTTGAAGACCGTAAGGTCCTCCTTGGGACATACCAGGAGAGGTGGTCCCGTAGGTACGAGGGTCCTAGGCCGTATAGGGCTTTAAAGGTTAAAACCAGCACCTTGAACCTGATCCTGTACTCCACCGGGAGCCAGTGCAGCTGGTGTAGCACCGGGTGAATGTGATCCCGCAGCGAGGACCCCATAAGGAGTCTCGCCGCGGCATTCTGCACCCACTTGAGTTTCTGGGTCAGTCTCAAGGGCAGCCCCACGTAGAGTGAGTTACAATAATCCAGTCTGGAGGTGACCGTCGCGTGGATCACAGTGGCTAGGTCAGGGCGAGAGAGGTAAGGAGCCAACTGCTTAGCTTGGTGGAGATGGAAAAATGCCGCCTTTGTTATAGCTGCAATCTGCGCCTCCATGGAAAGGGAGGTATCGAAGATTACACCCAAACACTTAACGGACGGTGCTGGCACTAATTGCGCCCCCGCAAGAGATGGGAGTTGCCCCCCCAATCCCATATCGTCCCGACCCAGCCAAAGGACCTCTGCTCTGGATCAATACTGAGTAGAATTTCAGTGACATTTACTGCCCCTGATTGTGGAGGTAGAGCATAGCCATTGCAGCTAGTAGCCATTGATAGCTCTCTCCTCCTCCATGAATTTTACTGATCCTCTTTTATAGCTACCCAAGTTGGTGACCATTGCTGCCTCCTGTGGGGAGCGACTCTGTGCTGCTTGAAGAAGGACTTTGTTTTAGCTGTCCAGACTCTTCAAACAACCAGCTTCATTTGATGTCCCCTGAATTGCACAGCAGAGGACAGGCCTGCTGCTCATTTTCCTACTTGGTGGGAGGGCAACTATGTTCCCTTGTGACCCGAAGGCATTGTTGCTCTAGCCTCAGAGAGTGAATGAAAGGTGATTTGCTTGCTTTGGGCTCATAAGGGCATTGGCCCTTGTTGTGGGGATCCCTCCGTGCCCATTTCCTCCAATGCACCCTGCATTCACCTGCCACCCACTCCCCATGTGTGCATGCGCACAGACAGACAGACACACCAGCACCCATGCTGCACATCTGGCTGTAGATGCACAGAGACCCACAAAAAGGCTGAAGGCAAGACAGAGTCCTAGCTATGAAACAACCACAGAGGACTGTTAGAAGGAGCAAGAGTTCTGCTAAAGGTAAAGGGACCCCTGACAATTAAGTCCAGTTGCGAACGACTCTGGGGTTGCGGTACACATCTCGTTTTACAGGCTGAGGGAGCCGGCGTTTGTCCGCTTCCACAGACAGTTTTTCCAGATCATGTGGCCAGCATGACTAAGCCGCTTCTGGTGAAACCAGAGCAGTGCACAGAAACATCGTTTACCTTCCTGCCAGAGTGATACCTATTTATCTACTTGCACTTGGACGTGCTTTCGAACTGCTATGTGGACAGGAGCTGGGACCGAGCAACAGGAGCTCACCCCGTTGCAGGGATTTGAACCGCCGACCTTCCGATCGGGAAGCCCAAGTGGCACAGTTGTTTAACCCACAGTGCCACCCGCGTCTCCTAAGAGGTCTGCTACCTGAGACCATTGGAGATGTCAGGAAGTGCCTATGGTAACTTCTGAAAGCAAAGCATGTCTTTGAAGAAGCACAGAGCCACAAATCCTTCTCAGTTGTTCAACATGGCAACTGTAGTTGGGGTCTTTAGGACAAGTGAAAGAAAGGACTTCTTCGCACAGGGAAGAGTCAAACTGTGGAAGTCACTCTCCTGCACGGGGCAGTGATGGCCACCAACCGAGATGACTTTCACAGAGGATTAGGCAAATTTGTGGAGGCCATGGATTTCTACTAACCAGCCTGGCTCTGCTCTGCTTCCCCAGTCAGGGACAGCAACGCTTCTGAACTCCAGTTGCTGGAAACTGCAGGAAGGGAGAGGACTTGTGTTCGAATCCTGCTTGCGGGTTTCCCTTTGGGGCATCTGCTTGGCCATGGTGAGAACATGATGCTGGACTAGACGGGCCACTGGCCTCATCCAGCAGGCTCTTCTCATGCTCTTAATGCTGTATTCACAGAGACTATGGAGGCGCTTTCCTCTGTGTATTCGCTTAAGAAGAACGGCAGAATCCAACATTCACAGCGGAGAGGAGCAGTCAGATTGCTCACAAGATTACATTCCTTGCTCCATCCCCACCCTGGAATCTACAGAAGGGCTTCCCAGAATCCTGTCCTCTAAGATCATTCAGAAGGCTGGATGGCAGAACAGTCATCTGGCGTATTTTACCCCATGACCCTTTCTGCCATGGGAGTCCTCCACCTCCCCTAAGGGTGTGCGGAAGAAACTTGAAACCTGTGAGCTATATAATAATTATTATTTATTATTTATACCGTGCCCATCTGGCTGGTTTCCCCAGCAAATTTGGGTGGCTTCCAACAAAATATTAAAATACAATAGTGTGTCAAACATTAAAAACTTCCCTAAACAGGGCTGCCTTCAGATGTCTTCTAAAAGTCTGGTAGTTGTTGTTCTCTTCAACATCTGGTGGGAGGGTGTTATACAGGGCAGGTGCCACTACCGAGAAGGCCCTCTGCCTGGTTCCCTGTAACTTGGCTTCTCGCAGTGAGGGAACCGCCAGAAGGCCCTCGGTGCTGGACCTCAGTGTCCGGGCAGAACGATGGGGGTGGAGACGCTCCTTCAGGTATACTGGGATGAGGCCGTTTAGGGCTTTCAAGGTCAGCTCCAACACTTTGAATTGTGCTCGGAAATGTACTGGGAGCCAGTGTAGCTGATATGACTCCGCCTTTCCAAAGTTCCCAAAACATTTGCCTCAGGGTATGGGAAGGTGGCAGAGACAGTAGGCCCTCCCCAGCTCTCACTGGAGAATATTTTCCCTAACAGGAACTGGGACTAGAGAAGAAACCCATATTCATTAGAAGGAAACAGATTCTGCCTCTCTCCAAACCAGTGGAGTGAGAGAGGCCTTTGATACCCTCCCTGGAAGACTCCTTGGAAATGATGGATGCAATAACCATTTCCCACCAGAGATTAAGGGTTTGGCAGTCCCTTTCCAAGAGAAGTTCCACTGGGGTCTAGGGTGCACCCATCACCACCTCCCACTATTAGTCCAGGTAAGTTTCTGGGTCCTTAAGTCAAGGTGCACACTGAACGCATGCAAAACCCTTGCTTGAGCCTGTTTGTAAAGGCTTGACCCCCTTCTGGGGTGAAGAGTGAGGCTGTGTTTGTGTGTTTGTGACTAGTGAGCAGGGCTGGGCAGATCTGCCCATTCCTGATTTCCTCCCTTTTTTGCAATCTTAAATTCAGGTTCACATCACTTTGTGTACTATTGTTATTTTAAACGCTGTCATGAAAATTCGCCAGCCTTTTAACGCACTGCAAAATTCAGAGAAATGTACGTTTCAAAGGATAACTGTGCTTTGGTTTGCATATAGTTTCAGAAAATGCAAGCTAGGTAAGATCACCTGTAAATGGAAATTGAATTGCACCTCCCCAATCCCTATTAGCATCCCCCCCCCCACAACTAAGTCCTTCTCCATCTTCATGCTACCCATAATGAGAGGGAAAGAGAACCGATATGGAATTGTTTGCACAAACCTGGTCTAAAACTTGGCAAGACACAAAAGGTGCTTTTGGGAGCTGGTAAAGTCAGACGAGGGCGTGTTTGAAGGAGAGGAGAGGGAGTGATGAGAGCAGGAAGGACAACACATTCATTTGTTGTGAGAGGAGAAGGAAAAGAAAAAG